GCCAGACAATCAAACAGAAACAGGTCTTAATAGGATTAAAGGACAAATTTGTACTAAGTGGATTGCTTCATGTCTGCCAACATGATTTTGTGATACTGATTCCGGTAAATCAGTGATGTACCTGATTTAATACAGAAGCCTCTTAATAGACTACGTAGTGGAAAATAACATGAACACATGGGCTGCGTCTAAACTGGCAAGTTTTTCCGCAAAAGCAAAAAACTTGCCAGCTGTCTACACTGGCCGCTTTGAATTTGCGCAAGAACACTGACGATCTAATGTAAGATTGTCAGTGTTCTTCCGCAAATATAATGACTCTCCCGTTCGGGAAAAAGCCCTCTTGCACAAATGCTGAGAACCGTTTTGCGCAAAAAAGCCCCGATGGTGAAAATGGCGATTGGGGCTTTCTTGCGCAAAACTGTGTCTAGATTGGAATGGACGCTTTTCTGCAAAAAGTGCTTTTGCGCAAAAGCGTCCGTGCCAATCTAGACGCTCTTTTCCACAAATGCTTTTAATGGAAAAACTTTTCCGTTAAAAGCATTTGCGGAAAATCATGCCAGTCTAGACGCAGCCATGGGGTATTGTGTTAAAAGAACACATGGGGTAGTGTGTTAAAGGGGCGGCTATCCCTTTAAACCAGGCATTCGTGCGATTCAGAGGATCAGCTGCGGGGAACCCAGGATCAACTGTGAAGTCCCCAGCTGACTCCGCGCCCCTAGTGGCATACAGCATAGTATGGAGCCCAGGGTCAGCAGGGGACTCTGAGTCTCCCGCTGATCCTGGGCTCCATGGCTTTGAAATGCACAAGAACCCCTGCTGGGGACTCTTGTGCATTTCAAAGAAGGCATCTGTGTGCAGCCTGGAGTCAGCGGGATGTCCAGCTGGCCCCAGGATGTACTCGGAGTTCCGCATTTCAAAGGAAGAATGTGGAAATACCTGGCGACTAGTTGACTGAAATTCTGTTGACTTGTTAATTAACCACATTTTAACATCCTTACTCTGAAAACTGACCATTTATTCCTACCCTTTGTTTCCTATATTTTAACCAGTTACCAATCCATTAAAGGACTTCGCTCTTATCCCATGACAACTTACTTTACTTAAGAGCCTTTGGTGAGGGACCTTGTCAAGGGCTTTCTGGAAATCTAAGTCACGTGAATTCTGGGGGCCTTACTCATGGTTTTTAACAATGTGGAGTTGTCAGTCCTTTAGTGGATACTATTTAGATCACAAAAACAAATTAACAAGTTTATTTTTAGAGTTTTTGGAAGTCTTGCTGGATAGGTGAAGTATTATTTGGGCAAAAAATAAGCTCGCTGTTATATCAATTCTCCGTGTCAGAGTTGAAACACTTTGGCAGGACAATGAAGAAGGGGAGCTTGCATTTGCCATTAACTATTTAGTATTTTATGGACAGAGAGGAATTTGAGGGTTTCAATTCAAATACAGTATAGTATTAAATTGCTTTTAAATTAGCATGTTTAAAATTGATAAATCACTTGCCTTTTTGGTGGCAATAAAAAATAACTATTTTGTTCATAGTTTGTGATATTCAAAAATGTTATAGGCTACTGTGTTTGATCCAAAAGATTTTTGCTTTCTGGTGGTGAAGTGATGAAGTGAATCCTGTATTTCCTTTCAACATCACAGAGATATTGCAAATCTTAGGTTATATGAAGTACTTCTAGATCTTTGGAAAAAGTTGCTAAGCCAATCACAGATGTCTTAAGTAAAATATGACCTAGTTTTATTATAATTCTTACTTTGTCATCCCCAAGTATGACAACCCTTCTTGCCACCCAAGAAAGATAGAAGAAACATCTTTAAAAAAGCAGGGAATAATGTGTGATTTACACATCCTCTTTTTGCACAGATCGTCATCTCCCAAGACAGCTAATGGAGCTGTCAATCCCAAAAATCAATCTTATGTTCTTCAGTGATAGAGTTTTTGCATCAAATGCCCATGAACCTGGAACTCTTGGCATGACTATAAACCTCAGCCAACTTAGAGAAAAATTACATTTTTGACTTAGCCCCTACCTCCAATAATATTAATTTAAAAAAAAACCCAATTCCTGCAGATGGAAATGATGCAGTTCTCTCCCTTCCTTGATCTTCAGGCTTTCAAACAGTGAAGTTAAATAAGGGCGGGAGGGAGGGGTGGTGGTAAGGTAGTATTTTTATTGGACTGCTTTCTTGTTGGACAAAGCTTTTCATGTCTGGAGGAGGAAACCAGAGTGTCCATGCTAAACACATGGTAGGACAGATTGTTAAGCATAAGGGATTCAGACATGTAGTAGGGGACCACTTTAAATGAAGTGGGCAACACAATTATAGAGCAATGGAGAGTTAGTATGCAGCCACATGTGTTCCAAGTTGTTGTAATGAACCATAAAACCAATGCTTCTCTTAAGTCTGTGACTTTTAGGGGCCAATAGTTATGGCTTCAAAAGACAAGCTTGGGAATTCAGAAGTGTTGTGCAAGTCTCCTTTGAGGATGATGACTGAGAAGTCAGATATGGAGCAATCACGTTGTCAAAGATATTTGTGTTATTTAAAAACTGTAGCTATAATTCACCACACATGCAGTTTCACTGTAATTGTAATATAGACAGCATTCTAATACTGCCATCTTTAGATATTGTAAAGTGCCTGATCCTGCTCTACAATATAGCTTCTATCTTCACTTGAACTTTAGACCAGTGTTTCTTAAACTGTGTTCCATGGTACACCTGTGTGCTGTGGAGAACAGAATTCAAAATGGCCACCCTTAAACGGGCTGGCAACTTTTTTCTCAAAACTCTTCCTCCTCCCCCCGACTTATTTTTTTTTTGCGCTCAACAAAAAAAAAATCCTTGGTATTCCCCCCCATAAAAAAAATTGTTTGGTGTTCCTTTGTCTTAAAAAGTTTAAGAAACACTGCTTTAGACAGTATTGCCAATTCGCAGGATAGTTGATGAGTTTATTATAAGTGCAGTTCCCAGATTAATATTATTAAATGAGAATCAGTTAGATACAGCCCCGTAAGCATACTTTCCTGTATATGATTTTATGAGGTACTAGATTTAAAAATGTAGACCTCCCCTCAGGGAGATACCACCTGAGTGTTAGGTTAAAAACCTAGATGAATTAAGGCCTAGAACATCTATGCAGTCCTCAAAATTAGTTCTATAAGTTTGAACTTTGAATGTACTTCCAACTGCTGCTGTGATATGGTATTTAGAAAAGTATCAGAGGCGTAGCCAAGGAGTCCTGTGGCACCTTATAGACTAATAGATTTATTGGAGCATAAGCTTTCGTGGGCATAGACCCACTTTGTCAGATGCTGACGAAGTGGGTCTTTGCCCATGAAAGCTTATGCTCCAACACTTCAGTTAGTCTATAACGTGCCACGGGACTCCTCGCCGGTATTTAGAAAAATGATTAATAAAAAGTCTGTACACAATGCAGCTAGATATGGAACCAAAATGAGTGTCTCAAACGGTACAATAGCAAAGTTTTCCCTAAAATATTCTGTCCCAGCCCTGTGTTCCTTTTCTGGAACTCTTCCACAAGTTTTAACTTCAGCTAAACTATTTTAGCTTGTCTTTGTTGCTGAAATTGTCCCTCAATCAATTTATCTTGCCCATAATCAGATGAAATCAATTAGTAAAATACTTGTCAATATTATGATTTAGAACAGGGGTGGGACACCTTTTTTGGGTCAGTGGCCGCTGATCCACAGAAAAATCAGTCAGGGGCTACACACAATTGAGAGGCCCAAACCAAAAAAAAACCCAACTGCAAACCCCCTCTGCCCTGGCAACCTGAGGAGAAAGATGCTCCCTATGTTCGGGGGGGGGGGGTGACAGCTTAACAGATCTGGTGTACTCCAGCCCAGGGGGTGCTAGAGCACAACATGGGGGAGGGAGTCCTGAGCCTGTAGGGCTAGATCCAAGCAAGGCATGGGCCACAGGTTCCCAACCTCTGATTTAGAATATTAGTGGAGAATAGGCTAACCTCTGCGTGCAGACAGAAATGAACCTGTTGCTGTCAAAGATTGTCAAAGCTAATATTGATCTCACTAAATGGTACTTGGAATAACGCTAGTGATAATTTCTGATTTGTTTGTGTGGGGTTTTTCCTTTGTGCAAAAGTCCGGATTTACTCCTGTCTCTGAGGAAAAGGAATAGCTGTGTCTTATAGTTATGAGAAACAGGTATCATAGCTCATAGGGGCTAAGCCTTCCCTAAACTGCCCCCCCCCCCCCCCCCCACCAGGGGGGGGAACA